GGTGCTAGATCACTGTCATTTCTTATGATTGAGTAATATTCCATTGTGAACATATACCAAATTTTGATAATCCACTCATGGATTGACGGGCACTTGGGTAAGTTTTGACAAATTATAAAGTATTCTACCATTTCAATTAATATTCCATGTTTCACAAGTTAGAGTGGATATATCCAGTGGTAGAAAATAAGAAAAATACTTTGTTTTAAACAGTAGTATTTAAATATTAATAGAAGGTAAAATATTTTTCAAGTAGTTTCTTAGTTGGAAGAATAATTCAATAGATATTTCTTGGAATTGACTCAAATTCCAATTGGACCTTGTTGCTCCTTCTATAATCATTCTCCTATGTCTTTAAGAACTGGCTCTGAACTGGGAAGATACAGTATATCTACGTATAAGGTTGTCAGATTTAGTAAATAAAGGACACCCAGTGAAATTTGAATTTCAAATAAATAATAAATTTTAGTATAGGTAATATTTGGGACACACTTACACTAAAGAACTATTTGTTGTTTATCTGAAATTCAAATCATACTGAAAATCCTGCATTTTATATGTCAACCAGACCCATGCAGAATTTTAAGAAATTTTTCTTAAATTTTATGGACAACATTAAGTAAAGTACCACCAAAGAATAAGTTCACATAATTGCAAAAATGAGTATATGACTTTGCTACAGGGATAATTTTCAAGTTCTAGCTTACATTACTGGATATTTCCTCCATAAATGGCAATATATTACAAGATTATGATTATAAATTACTTTTATAAATAAAAAATTGATTTACCTGATGAGACTTTCATTCTTTTTTTCCATTGAAAATGGCATTCTAGCAGAACCATTAAATAATTCCAAAAGTAGCGTGATTGCAATGTTCATAAGTTGACGAATGAGTTCCTGAAATATGTAGTCAACCAGCATCGCAAACCTGAAATTTGTTTCTAATAAACGTCGATATTTAGGGAGCTTGAAATGTGTTATGTCATCTCCAGAGTGTTTTGACTCAAAATATTCTTTAATCTCTTTCTTTTCTGCAACCTACAATTTAATAAACAATTGAGAAACAAGTGATGATTTCCCATGTTAATGTAGCATGATTTCCACTTTACAGTATTTTTTTATTTTAAATTTTTAACATTTTTATGGGTACATAATAGTTGTATATATTTATAGGGTACATGTGATGTTTTGATACAGGCATACAATGTGTATTAATCAAATCAGGATAAATGGGGTATCCATCACCTGAAGAATTTATCATTTCTTTGTGTTAGAAACATTCTATTAAGATAGCTACTTAAAAAAAAAAAAGAAAATAATAAATGTTGATGAGGATTGGAACGCTGGTGGAAATTGAAATGGTTCAGCTACTGTGGAAAACAATAGGGCAGTTCCTCAAGACAAATACAGAATTACCATGTGATCCAGCAATTGCAATTCTAGCTATGTACTCAAAAGAACAAAAAGCAGGGACCCAAACAGCATTATTCACAATAGCCAAAAGGTGAAAACAACCCAAATGTCCATCAATAGATGAGTGGATAAACAAAATGTGGTATATTCATGCAATGGAATATTATTCAGCTTTAAAAAGGAATGAAATTATGATACATAGTATAACATGGATGAACCTTGAAGACATTATGCTAAGTGAAATAAGTCAGACATAAAAGGACAAATATTGTATGATTCCATTTATATGAGGTACCTAGAATATGTAAATTTATAGAGACAGAAAGTATAATACAGGTTGCCATGGCTAGAGGTGGAGAGGGTAATGAGTTTATATTCAATGAGTATAAAGCTTCTGTTTGGGGTGATGAAATAATGGAAAGTTACAGAAATGGATAAGTTTCACCATAATAAGCTACTTTACATCCCACATGTAAACATAATTACAGGAAAATTTATTTTAATGGTTGACATTTATAAATGTCTTTCTTTTTATTTAAATTTATTTCATATTATTTTTAATTATTATGGGCACATAATAGTTATATATATGGTACATGTGATGTTTTGATACAGGCATACAATGTGAATTGATCAAATCAGAGTAATTGGGGTATCCATCACCTCAACCGTTTATCATTTTTGTGTGTTAGGAACATTCCAATTCCACTCTTTTAGTTATTTTAACGTATACCAAAACTTATTGTTGATTATAGTCACTTTGGAAAACTCTTTATAGATACCAGCCTAGGCAAAGAATTCATGAAGACCCCAAAGGCAATCAGAGGAACAACAAAAATAAATAAATGGAACCTGATTAAATTAAAAAGCTTCTGCATAGCCAAGGAGACAATCAATAGAGTGAATAGACAACCTACAGAACGGGAGAAAATATTTGCATGCTATACATCCAATGAAGGGCTAATAACCAGAATCTACAAAGAACTAAAGTGAATCAGCGAGATAACATCAAATAACCCCATTAAAAAGTAGGCAAAACACATGAACAGAAGCTTTCAAATGGCCAGTGAGCATATGAACAAATGCTCAATATCTCTAATCATCAGGGAAATGCAAATCAAAACCACAATGAGATATGACCTAACTCCAGTGAGAACAGCTTTTATGAAAAAGTCACAAAACAACCTATGCTGCCTTGGAAGTGGACAGAAAGGAACACTTATGCACTGTTGGTGGGACTGCAAACTAGTACAACCTCTATGGAAAGCAGTATGGAGATATCTCAAAGAACTAAAAGTAGAACTGCCATTTGATCTAGCAATCCCAATACTGGGTATTTACCCCAAGGAAAAAAACATTATAAAAAAGACACTTGCACTCTAATGTGTATAGTAGCACAATTCACAATCACAAAGATGTGGAAACAACCCAAGTGCCCATCGATACATGAGTGGATTAATAAAATGTGGTATATGTATACTATGGAGTATTACTCAGCCATAAAAAGCAGTGAACTAATGCTTTTTGTAACAACCAGGATGGAACTGGAGACCATCCTTTTAAGTGAAGTATTGCAAGAATGAAAAAACAAAAACCACATGAATTCACTACTAAATTGGAACTGATAGATCAACCTCAGGTACACAAATGGTAGTAAAATTCAATGGAAATCAGGCAGGTAGGAGGGGGAAGGAGGGAATGGGTGAATTCACACCTAACGGGTACAACGCACACTATCTTAGTGATGGACACATTTATAACTTTCATTCGATCTGCACATAAGCAATTCATGTAACCAAAATGTTTGTGCCCCCACAATATGAGATAAAGAAAAAAGTTTAAAAATATAATGATGTCCTAAGACAATTGACTTAGGAGGTTGTTGGAGAATGACATGTTTTGGCCAAAAATATAGGATGACATCAGTACTACTAGGACCACCAGACACTTCTAAATGATGCTCATAAAAATAATCCTGAACTTATTCAAAATAATTCCTTTTAGGCACATAAATACTCTTTACTATTATATAATGGGCCTTTAAAATTCTAAAAGTATTTCCAATTTTTGTTTTTTATTGGTTTGTTCATGCTTCTAATTTCTTTGTTCCACTGATATTAAATATTTGGTAAATGATCATCATTTTCAACTTGTATTCTGATTTTTTTTTAAAAAATTGTGTTTGTTTTACGTTGCCCTTCTTCATATTTCATTTTATTCACTCATATTTTCTTTTTTTAAAATTAATTGGATTAGCTGATTACTAATTTTGCAAATTTTTTGCAGTATTGGCTGTCTCTGAAGGAATGGTTTACCAATGTGATGCAGTTCTTTATTGATGTAATATTTGCTTGACGAAACTGGACATAAAAAAAAAGACAGGATAATTGATATACCAATTAAGAGAGAAGCCACACTAGGCCTGGCAAATAGAATACCAACTTTCTTAATAATAAAGTAATAATTTTTCCCTGATGATAATACCCATGACATCCTCCCTGCCTTAGCTGCCTGAAGGACAAATTTATTTGCCTAAGCCTGAATTCAAAGTCCTTTCTAACCACCTGTGCCTACCTTTCCTGGATTCTCTCTCACTAATCACTGTATACAAAACTTTTTTTTTTTTTTTTGAGGGGGCTATGTTTTTGTTTTCCCAGGAGCCGCTACATGATTTGAAAAACTTGTGTATATAATGCATGGATTTTTTAAACTAGTAAATGATGAAGCCTATTAACTATTCAAAATAAAGATTTTTAGCATTGATACCAAAGCAACCCTAAATGGCTTAATATCTAACTATATTAGTACAAAAGTACACAGTGATAGGTCTGGTAATGGTGATCTTTTTATTGCATATTGGTGAGGCTGATGAAGAATCTTTTAATAGGCTAACCTATTCTCTATTATCACAGGGTATATTTTGGGTGAGGTGTATCTCAATTCTGACTCTAGGTTTACACCACTGATGGTGGCTCTCAGTTTCCATTTCACCAGTTCTGTAACTGTGCTATATTCTTCCACAGCTAGGCAGTCCCAAACATTGCCCAAAAGAATGCTTCTCATCCTGGCTGTACTTTATATTCACTTGAGAGCTTTTATAGTGCTTCCTGGGCTCTATCCTCAGAAATTATGATTTAATTGGTGTAGGGTGGATCCCAGACATCAGTATTTATTAAAAGTTTCCCTGGTAACTCTAGTGTGCCACCTATTTGAGAAGCACTGGTCTGGAGTTTGGCTATGAGTAGTCAGACATTTTAAGACAATTTTGAAAATTCATGAAGATGACATCAGCAAGATGGCCGACTAAAGACACCAGGTATTCGTCCCTCCTCATCCCCCAAAAAAGGACCAAGGCAACAAACAACTAAGATCTGACTGGACTGTCAAAGAGAGAGAGTACTGACTGGAGTGTAGCGGGGGAGTGGAGATGCATGCACCTATGGTGACTGAAAGTCTAGGAGCGCATGTGGAGGCACCGTAACTCTGCAGCCCCATCTTCCCTGCCCAGGAGGGACCTCTGCTGTGGGGAAGAGGTAGGGAGAAGATCCCTACCAACCCCCATTGCCACTGCAAATACCTACAGTCCTTCCAACAGGAGAATCCCACCGTCTCCCAGTTTGAAGAGTTGTTGGGAATTCATATATCCCATCACATTGCCTTGGATGTGCACTCCCCATACCACACCCATCCCTGTGAGCCAAGATGCGTAGTGCCATCTTGAGACCAGAGCCACCTCTGGAGTGTGCCCTCCCCTGGGGGCCAGTAGCCACTGCATCTATCCATCATTAAGGATATAATTAAAGAATTACCTTTAAAAATGTACTTTGCATCTTGGAAATTGCTTTATCTCTGATATCCTCAAGTTGTTTCAATGCCTGGGTAGCTTGCTGTAACTGCTCTTCACAAAATTCATCTAGAGAATATGTTTGAGAACTATCCAGCTAATTAGATGATAGTAAATGTTGAGTATTAGAAAATCAAAATTCATATACCGAAAAAAAGACATAAAATATTTCATGTCATAAAGAAGACCATATTTTATAATTTCTTCTTTATATATTTCAAGCTTTGTATGCTAAACACCTTATATGTTCTTCTAATTTAAACACCCATAGTTAAATCTAACTAAATTTTAATAAAAAGACATAAAAATACATTATTTTAAATAATAACTAAGATTAAGCTGTAGCAGAAAAATTTAAGAGTTGAGGTATTTCTGAAATATCTATGAACCCAGGGAACCCACCAATCCCAGGAATTGCTTTTACTTTTGAAGTCACAATTATTTGTAAAGCTTAAAAACATATGTTTATACAATGCAGGATAATGAAGTTAAGATTAAATAATCCAAATAAGGTAAATTTTATTCAGAATTTATTCAGAATCCAGCAGGGAGAAATCTCCATCAATTATGAATTCTTCTCAGGTAATACAGAAATGTAATGTTCCATCCCTTCACATATATTCCATCATTCTTCCTCCTTTCAATATTATTTTTTTTCTACACTGTGTTAATTCTTGTGCCAATATACATTTTCATTAATAAATATTCTGGTATCTTTAACCCTAGTTATACTATAAAAATTAATAAATGTCTTTTCCCAAAACAAAACAAAAAGATTGAAAAGTACTGCTCTTGCCTTAAAATTTTGGATTTACTCTTTGAGTTTCCCCCCCTCCATAGCTGATTACCAGGTCCTAATTTTTCTAGTAAAATACGTCTCAAAAATCTCCCTTCCTTTCTGGTCTCGCTGTCAACATCCTAATTGAAGTCCTTATTGTTTGTACCTGCATTATTCCAGTGTTATAATAATTGATGTCTCTAACCCTAGTATCTCCCCACTTCCAATTTTTTGCACAGACATCATAATAGTTTTCCTAAAATAGCATGCTTAGAAACTTTCAATAGTTGTTCTTTGGGAGTAATTCTCAAAATTTATCTGGCACAAGAATCACCTGAAGGATTTGTTAAAAATGCAGATTATCAGCACCACTCGCTACTTGCTCCCTCAAAAGGAGGGGGACACAAACATCTACATTTTTATTAAGCACCCAAGATACCGCCCAATAAAATAAACCACTCTTAAATATGAAACATAATCTAAAGTCTCACCTCTACCTGATTCTGTGAACTTGGATAAATGATGATCTCTCTAGAACTAAGTTTTATCATTTGAAAGTGAAGATATGGACAAAATGATCCACGTACGTTCTTTACCTTCTAGTTCTAGAAATTTCAGTCCCTTTAAAGGTGTGCTTTCATCCCAGCAAAGTATACTAGTACACTCATTAAAACCATTCATGGCATTAACTTCTGAATGATCCCATCCTTTGCATTCATAACCTTGCTTCATTCTCCTTACCTCTTTATTGTCAGTCTTCACTGGGGTCTGCATCCCCAAGCTATGCATAGCCTTCCCATACTAAGTGTACAACTGGCCACCTTCTGATCTCTGACTCCAGCTTGGTTCTCCTGGCTATAAATCTCTGCTTTCCCTCCATCTGAGACTGGCTTATCCATGGACATTTTCAGAATCTCCCATTCTTACAAACTATCCTCATAGTAACCCCCACTAGGAGTGCCCCTGCCCTATGAGCATATTCAGATCCTACTTTTCCCTTATTTTGTTATAATGGCCTGACATTCATGACCCAACCTAATTTTCAAATCAAACATATACTGAATGCCTTACTCACACCCATAGAAATGGCTTACTAACGGATTAAGAAATCTGTATTCCTTTTATTCAAAACTCTATTTGTTCTTCCTAGTTTCTATATACCAATATTAACTTATAGTAGTATACTTAAACCAACCTTCACAAGGCATATGGTAGATGTATTATCTTTATGTTCATTAACGTTTTTGACAGTAATTGCATCTTCACAAAGTCCTTTTATATAAATCAAACAGGCTTGAAATAACTCATCAGCCAAAAAAAGACAGTGGGACAAAAGTGACCTGAAAGTTAAAAAAATGTCCACAGATTTTTCTCTCATTCAAATGAATGAAATTAATTTAGAGGTAACTAGTATAGTTTAGTTTATATCCCTATAGTCAAAATGTATCACATTTACCACATTTTAAATGATAAAGATCAGGGGTTGTGTTTGGCTGATAATGTTGTAGGCAGGGTTTTGGGTACTGGGTGTGTTGAGTAAGAACAAAACAGAAGGGGGAAACAAGTGATGGTATTATTATTCTGTTATGCCACAGAGTTCGAATAATTCTGAAACATCAGGTAGTGTTAACTAAAAAAATTATATGTTCTCAATTTACTAAATCTAAATAAATTTCTTCAATTTATTTTTCTCCCAATTACAGGAAAAAAATAAACTGGATTATGGACCATTTGGAGAATGTTTCTTTCCTTTTGTTTTTTGTAGACAGAGTCTCACTCCATTGCCCAGGCTAAACTGCAGTGGTGTCATCATAGCTCACTGCAACCTCAAACTCCTAGGCTCAAGCAATCCTCCCGCTTCAGCCACCCAGAGTACTGGGATTATAGGCACAATGCACCCAGCCAACATTCTTTTTATGAAAACCACTTTATTGAGGTATGATTGACATACAAAAAGCTGCACATATTTATTATATGTAACTTGATGCATTTGGAGATAAGTATACATCTGTGAACCATCACTACAATCTATGCCATAAATATATCTGTCACCTCCAAAAGTTTCCTCCCATCCTCTTGATTTATTATTATTATTTATAATAAGAACATTCTTGAAAAGACAAAATTGTAGAAATGCAGAACAGATTAGGAGAGAGTGAGAGTAGGTGGGAAGTAGGCAAACCTGTAAGAGGCCAACATGAGAGAGCCTGTGGTGATAGAAATGTTCTCTGTCTTGATTATATAAATGTCAATGTGCAAGTTGTCATAATGAACTGTAGTTTTGCAAGATGTACTTACCATCTTGGGGGAAACCAGGTAAAAGGCTCATGAGATCTCTCTATATTATTACTTGCAACTGCATCTCAATTTATAATTATCTCAAAATAAAAAAAATTAGTAAAAACAACAATAAAAAACACTTGGTTGCTGGAGATCTTTCAAAGTAAGATCTTTACAAAGTAAAATTAATTGTCATCTATTTTGAATAACTTAATCATTCCTCTTCTTGGAAGCAAAAAGTTAGATAAAGTGACCAAGGGAACTCATCAAGGTTTTTCACAGCACTGTGACCATAGAACGGTGTACTGGGAAATACAGTAAATGTTCCCATGCTATATTTTTAAAATATAACTTCTTTTTGAAATTTTTATAAATATATTGCATAACAAGACTCACCTGCTCTTCTCTATCTTCATCCTTTTAACATTCAATTTCCAGGTAACAAATGCTTTATTAATTCTGAAAGGAAAAATACTTCTTACATTCTATATTCATAAATCATGTATTTATATAGAATAAATTTAGTAAAAGCTTAGTAATATTAGAATATTCTCTAGAACAAGTTTCGTTCATTCTGAGCTATCTAAAGTAAATAGTAAACCATACAAATTTTCTCCCAAACTATCAACAGAATATAGAACAAAAGATAAATGTAAGTAAAAGTCCTTATAATTCTCATAGATGCAGTATTCACTTAGCTGAAACATTCCAATAAATATTAAAAACCATAAAAATATATTATTTTCTCATACGTTTATTGGCTTACTTTGAAAAGAAATTTATATTTCAAGAAGAGTCAAGATTCAATTTTCAGTGATAATGAAAAGCTACATTGTCACAGAAATCTTTGTGTAGTGGCAAGTAAAAAAGATAATGTATGTCATTTTGATATTATTTAATACTTGTATAAAAAAAGTGCATTTATAATTTTAAAAACTCAAAGAACCTACATGAGAATTGAAAAGCTTCCCTGGTTATGAGTTACCATTTATAATTTTCATTCATAAAATAGACATACCGTTTCTATAAATCTCCCTCAACTTCTCTAAATAAATGTTGTTGCCTTGCTCATGCACATGTGGGACTAGTCTGTTGCCATATCACTATCCCTCCCGCAATAGCCTTTGCATCTCAAGAAAACCACCCTTAAATAAAAACTGAGATGTGATACTTGTTTGTCAAAGTGAGATTGCTTATGTAGCTGGTTAGAGCCAGTGGGGAGAGGAAAATCATGGGGATAGGAGTGTGTCCAAGAAGCCAACCAAATATCCAGGCTTAAAGATGACACTGGCTGATTTTGAATCAAGGGAGACTGAGAGGCCTGGAACCATCCAAGCAGTTCAAGGAGAATCCCATGATGTCCCTCAAACAATCACATCTGAGGTCTTGGAACTTAGAAATGCCTCAAACAAATGTGGTAACTTGAATCAGGCTCCAAAGAGGCATCCCAAATAAGTTTCTATTTCACTTTAATCCAGATCCATAGAGTCATGGTATCTCGGGGTTCTAGAAGATCCCACATGAATCACAGGGGAACCTAAGGACAGTGTAATGAGTGTCTGCACCAGGCCACAGAAACTAACACACCAGAAAGTTTCACGAGGTAGAAAGATAATGCTGATGGTCCAGTCATCCCTGCACTGTATACAGGCATTGCCAGCTTAAGTTAACATTTCATCTTTATCTTATTTTTCTACTTGAAATGTTACTTTTTCAATATTAGTGATAAAAACTTGATAAAATATATTAAACATAAAATTTAAAAATCAGGTAAATCTACAAGTTTGACTAAAATTTAATTTATATTTTTCTTAACATGAATGAAGAAAATGAATCATCTTGACTGTGTGAGACAGAACAGGGATTGGACTCAGGCCCCTCACCCCTGACACCTGACCCCAGAATTCAATATAACCTGACTGAGTTATTTGCAGAGGGCTTAGACAAATAGTTTCCCAATTGCCAGAATTCAACTCATACCCATATAAGGACAGAGCTAAACCATCTGTCTTTGAATAACGTTTTCCAGGACCACTAAAGCAAGATGCTGATGCAAGCTGATAAGGAACCCAGCTGCTAAAGAAACCAGACCCATCGGGATCTATCTGACTCAAGCCAGAATAGACACCCCCAACCCCAGAACTTACCTTTCCCTGACTTTTTCCTCATTATAATCTCATTTTAATGCTAAAAACTATGTTCAGGGTGGAGCTTTAACATGCTAGTAAGACACATGACATATGAAGAGGCATGTACCAAAACTGTGCAAGCGTGAGGAAATCTCCACCTCTACACGCTTAGAGAGAGCCCTTTTCCTATGTAAGCTTTTTTAAAACTCTCTTATAATGCCCTTGGGGGAGCCAGCTGGAGAACTCTACCTCCTGCGCTGTCTCCCTTGTGCTCAAGCATAAGCCCCAATAAAGCTTTGTCTGAGGAGATTCTTGGCCTTGTGTCAATTTCTGTTGCATGTGAGCCCAAGAACCCATGGCCAGTAACATGTGGACTTAACACATGCCAAATGTCATATAAAAAGATGATTCTTGTCCCAGTTCTAACTGTATTTCAAAAGTTTAATATATGAAAATTATTTAGAAAAGAATAGACTCTAAGGATTTACCACAAAGCAAGGGTAACACTGCAAAGTCTGACATTGACAGAGCTTCAAATAAATAGATATAAAAAATAGTACTTTGGATAATATCTTAAGCCGATAATCCAAAATCAAACATCTACCAACCTTACTTCTAGTTCCTAAATTATAGGGATGCAACTATCACATATCTTTGACGAGAAACATCTCAGAACTGTTACACAGTCACCTGCACTGCATGTGACTTGGATTCCAGACAATAACAGAACCTGCTTCATTTCCTACAAACTCTTCAACACTTCAGGCACGCCATTTCTACTGTCAAATACACAACTTGTTCCTGCCTACCAACTTTCGAACTTCCTATATCCTTTGTCTGGAGCTATTCTCTCTCAAAGCCCCACATGGCTGTCTCCTTTTGATCATTTAGGTCTGTGCTTCAACACCACATCTCTGGCCATCTTATCTAAAGCTGCCCCTAGCTCCCTTACTCTGTTTTATTTTCCTTTATAACATATAATCTCCACCTGATATTTACAGATTTACATATTTGTTTATTATCTCTCATCTACTATAACAAATCATTTAAGAGCAAGATAATTGTTTGGCTTGTTCAATACGGTATCCCCAGCATCTAGATAATGCCTGATTCTTAGCAGACTCTCAATAAATGTTCATTTGATGAATAAATACATGTATGGAAAAAAGGTAAAGTAAGATCAATACAGTTGACTCTTAAACAACACGGCTTTGAACTGCACAAATTCACTTATATGCGAATTTTCTCCCACCTCTGCCACCCCTGAGAGAGCAAGACTGAAACTGTGCCCAACAGGGCAAAATCATCTGGTAACCAGCAAAATTTCTTGAGCTCCACAGTGGAAAAGAAAACAGTTTGCTACAAACCCCTTTGCAACAAAATCGACTGACAGGCTGAGACTTGTTGGAATCCACATGGCTGACTGGAGTCTAGGCAAAATAGACTTGCTTGTCTGATAAGTGACCTTTTGACATCAGAGGCTAAAAACTCCACCCGCAGATTGTGCCAACACCAACATTTTCTGAGCACAAGACCTGTGAAGAAGCACACAGCAGCAATAGCGCATGCCCAAGGGACTTTCCAAACCCCCTTTCCTTACAGCCAATCACTCTCCAGCCCTGAAACTCCTCTCTCAAAATCTCTCCCCTCAATCTACGGCTGCAAGGCCAGTATGGGGAGACAGATTGGAGCCTGACTCCCATTTCCCTGTTTGACTGCCTGGCAATAAAACTTTCTCACTGCAAAAACCCAGTGCTTTGGTGGTGTGCTTTCCATTGCACATGGGCAAATGAACCTAGTTTGGTTCAGGGACAAGACCAATCTCTCCTCATCCTCCTTCTCCTCAGCCTATTCAACATGAGCATGAGAAGGATGAAAACCTTTATGATGATCCACCTCTACTTAATGAGTAGTAAATATATTTTCTCTTCCTTATGATTTTCTTAACATTTTCTTTTCTCTAGCTTACTTTATTATAAGAATACAGCAATATCACATATATATAACATAAAAATATGTGTTGACTATTTACGTGATTGGTAAGGCTTCCAGTCAATAGTAGGTTATTACTAGTTAAGTTTTTGGGGAGTCAAAAAGTTATATTCAGATTCTCCACTGCATGAATGGTTGGCATCCCTAAGCCCCGTGTTGTTCAAGGGTCAATTTGACTATAAAATAGTTTTACAATATTTATCCAAAAAGATTAAAATTAAGAGTTTTAATACTTAAATGAGTAAGCTTCCTTTATCTAAAAAATTTTTATGGAACACCACATTTCCCCTATAATTTCCCATAAACATGGCATTACTGTAGTAGAACCACGATGTCACCCAGGCAACTGCTCTTTCAACAGGATCAAACTACAAAGAATTGGTTTCATTTTCTTTCATCTCACCGGAAACTGGAAAATATCTTAAATTGCCGTAATAAATAGTAACATCTTCTTTCTGATAGCCATTCTGAGACAGGTACAAGTTCTACTTCCTCTATACCACCACCTATTTTAATAACCTATAAATATAAAGCACAAAAACATGATTTTATTTCTTTTAAAAATATGTACTCATAACTTCTTGCCTTCATAAGCTTTTCCTGTATCTGAACCCTCAGCCACTTTACCTACACCCAAATTTGTTCCCCTTAAACATGCTGCGTCTATACTTGCCATTTTCTAATGCTATTTCCTGTGCTCCAACAGAGAGAAGAAAAACTTCCTCCTCACCCTGAGATACTTTTCACAAAAACAGCTGTTCAAATTTTATCTCATAATTTCCATTTTCTATAAAAGTAACATTTATGAAATTAATTTTAGCCACAGAGATGTAGTAGTCCAAGGTGGTTTATAACCCCACTACCCAGATAGCCCATTTTGACATTCAAAAACGGTATGTCCTTAATCAAGGAATTCTCTCTCTTTCTAAGAGTCCCTCTCCCCCACCCGATGTTAACATTTTTTAAAAAATTTCTTCCAGAGATGACAGTATGTCTATATCAGCACATCTGTATCTATGTGTATAATTCATTTATATAGAAGTTGTTCCTCCATTCTCATTTGATATTGTATATTAGAAACATTTCCATATCTGTACATACAAGATATACTTCATACAGATGTGGTCCTGTGCAGGCATACTTAAGAGTTTATTTTAGTTAGAGTTTATTTAGCCGGGAGAGCAGAGAAAGGCAGACAGACATAAAACAAATGATCAAAACAAATAATAGTATAATTTCAATTTGTGATAAGTATCAAAGTGCTTAAGTGTGATAGAGCATCACAGGAGGATTTCTACATCTGACAGTGAAGTTTCTGACAAATGTGCTAATAAAGAGCACTCTTTTCTTTATTATTATAATTCCTATTACGCCAGCAACTGCCCATTCTCTAGTTCTTCCTTTAAAAAAAATTACACCAAATATAAGTATTTGAGAGGTGAAAATATATCTTGAAACTGAATCTTCAAACCTAAATCTCTACAAAGAAGAAAAAAATGTCACTATTAAATTACTTTCTTTCAAGGAGATTCTTATACCTAAACTGTTCCTCAAATGACCAGGTATTTCTGAAACACAGGTAAATTTATGCAATTAAAATCTAAATTGTATAATATTTTGCTATTATAATTCTGAAAGCTGAAAACATCCATTAAATATTACCTTTGAGATAAATGAAGCAGTAATAATCCAATATTCTTTGCAATGTCTAGCTGTATGGGCAGAGACTACGTGAAGATCATACGGATTGTAAAGGGCTTTAGGATCATTCCGAGGAAGGCAATATACAAATTCTCCATCATCTTTCAGTGATTGCTGAGATTGAAAAAAAATTTAATTAATTTGACTAACTTAATTAATAAAATGGCTAAACAAATTACCTAGTAAATTAAAACAATTTTAATACAAATTAAAAATAAGAATAAGAATACTATCACTGAGGAAAGCTAATACCAAATTGTATTAATACTTAATCAAAATTCATCAAGATCTTATAGAAGATTTTATATATTTATATATATAACATGATGTGGTGATAAAACATTCAGAAAAATTTACCTATATGCTTACTAATGCTCACTAGTAACGTAACCCAAAGAACTTGACAACATACCTTTTACATATATGCCACCTTCCAGTAAATTTGTCTGCCAACACCAGAAATCTTCTGGGCCTATCAAACTTATCATTTATTTTGACAACAATGGTAGTTTAGTATTATAATAACAATAGCTAATATTTGCTAAATAATAAATATTTAATGAGTAATAAGTGTTTCAAATACAGTATCTTTATAACCATAAAAGTATAATGTCTTAAATTTAATCTCTTAAATTTAAAGAAACTAAGGTTTGATCTTTTGAATCTCATTAAACAGATGCAGAAATTAATATTTTGGTAAATTAGGTAATTTGAGAAAAGTCAATAATGTAGGAAGTAGCACAGTAGGGATGTGAATCCAAGTGTGACTCCCATGTTCTGTGCTATTGCAATAAGCTGTAATGCCTCTCCCACATTTACTTGGCATGACTGAGAAATCAGCCATGTCACGCTAAGAAAAATTCTTGCATTAAAAGTTTCTTGAAACTTTTTAACTTTTATTGATGAAAACAACTCTAATATTATAAGGAAGTTTTAGTACTTTCTAGATAATTAAATTTTATTTTCAAAAAGCATTTGGTATTTAGTGATGTCCTCAGAAGCTACTGAGTAAAGAGTTTCCAATTACTATAGTTTTAAATTTTGGATCCAGTTTTACAGTTGTTTTAAATTTTGACTTCCTTGAAGATTACTTGTTTCTTCACAATTGTGTTAGCTGTTCCACTTTCTTGTTTTGGCTTATGATATAATCTATACTAAGAAACCTTTATAAACAGGTTTAAAAACTGCAAATGATAGGAAATAAGCTAAGTCATGACTTGTACAATGCATAGGCTTTGTTATAGTTATATGGCTACTTGAGTCATTTTTGTTCTAAATTATGTTTCAAAATGTGCAGTTTCTACAAAGCTTAATGTAGATACAAATATTTGAAATGGATTATATATGTGATTTAAAAATTCAATTATATAAGCCTAAGAATAATTATTCCAATTATTTTTTCATTTAAAAACAAATGTTTTTTCATATTCTCAATCCTTTCTTCACATACAAAGGAAACATACCTTATCTGAATCCAAGGAACCCATGGACATTTATGGTTGTTGTTTTTTTTAACTACTATGCCTACTACCTGCCAGGTACCACAGAACATGTTTTATCTCATTTAATCTTCACAATTCTCCAAGGGAACTACTACCATGTCCATTTCAAGGCCAAGGAAACTAAAGCTTAGGAGGTTAGGGACCTGTCCAAGATAACACAGTGAGTGTACACAGATTCAAAATTCAATCTGATTCCATTATACACAGGTTTTCATTTATATTATGCGGCCTCTGAACAATGTTCAAAAGACCATTTATCTTCATGGTAATAGTCTAGAGCAAGAATCAGCAAACTATGGTCAGGGCCAGGTGCCTGTTTTTGTAAATATAGTTTTATTGGAACACAACCACATCCATTTGTTTATGTATTGTCTACCAATGCTTTTGTACTACAATGACAGCATGGAGTAGCTGCAACAGAGGTCATATGGCCTGCAAAATTTAAAATATTTATTATCTGTCCCTTTTCAGAAAAAGTTTACTGATCCCTAGCAGGGAACAATGGTTCTTAATTGTGCATCAGAATCACCTGGAGAGCTTAATAAAATACAGATTGCTGGGCCCTACCCCCAGAGTTTCTGATTCAGTGGGTCTAGGGTGCAGATGAGAATGTATATTTCTAATAAGTTCTAAGATGATTCCTATGCCACTTGTCTGGGGACTGAACTTGGAGAATTCCTGATCTAAAAGTAGGAAGAGATGATCCTGTACCATCTTAGATCAGCTGTAATAACGGAGGTGTCAGGATACAGACTTTCATTCGTATCATAGCTTCTACCCTCTGGTCATGTGATCTTGGACAAGCTAAAATTTCTCTTAAGAAAGAGGTTAATGAGTAGGGAGAAAATGGAAAGCACAAGGAAATACAGAGCAGATGAGATCGAAAATCAGGTACCAGGGAATAAGAGAGTGAAAAGGACAGGATGTTAAAAAATATATTATGATTTCTTTTTAAATCACAAAAAACCTGATAAGCAGGAACAAAAGAATAGATTCAAATTTCAGGCAGATGGTACCCCTTACTAGGAACCCACTCAGTTAGAGGAAGGGGTGGGACATGACAGAAAAAAATATTTTCATGTGTTATAGACTTAAAATTTATATGCCTTATCCATTCTCCATTCCTTAAAAAGTAATATGAAATGATGTCAAATACTTTTGCATTTACCCAGAAACAATGACTATACTTTGAAATTAATGTAATGTCTGAGTTTGATGTAATATCTGAAATGGATTAAATAAAAATTAAGAGACAATTTCAATATTGAATTTTAAAGATCAAAGTTGAATAAAATAGAGTAATACCTTTAGAATAGTCTTCTGATTTTCAATTTCACAACTTTTGTATTTCAAAATGTGCTGCAGTAATACAGTTTGCCAACCAAGCTTTTCTCTTAGCCTAATAATATGTCTTATCATATCATCATCTTCTGGTTCTGGTACAGAAAGGACATTAAAAAAAGTCTAATGTAAGTGCAAATATGGGCATCACTTAAGGATAATGTATAATATTCCAAATAGTTCTACATAGAGACAAAATTAAATGGTAACTTAAAGTTTACATAAAGGCTATATGATAGGAAGAGAAAATAGAGCTTAAAATTCAGTTTTAACAGAAGCTGAAAAGAGGGAACAGTATTTATCCATTTAAGAAAGAGATCACAAAAGGCCTAATTCCATAACTACACAGATAGTAAGCGAGAGAAGAAGGTAGGAACAGGAGCCAGTTATAAGGCTTCTCTTAATAGATGCCTAAGCTGGAGTGGAGGCAGTAGGATCAAAAAGCAGGATAACAGTGTGAGATGGAAATATTCTTCTTAAGGATACTCATCGCATAGACACATTTCAGGCCATATCCTTCTTGATCTCTCAGCTGGCAGCTAATGATTCTCTCCTTCTTGATACAATCTTTTCTTGGCTTTTATTCACTGTGCTGTACAGGTTGGCTCTTAAAGTTCTTTTTTGTTAGAACAAATCATGGAAGGAGAGGCATGTAAAAAGCCTAGTGGCAAAACCAGCAATCCTAAGAAGTTATATTTCTGGCCCTCCAGAAATTACAAACACCATCTGACTAAAACAACTTCTTTCCTAAGGATTAAATGAGACTTCAGCTCTTGAATAAAACAGTGTTATGACTAGGATAAGGCACTTGCATGATCCTAAGAGTGAGTTTTTCTTTAAATTTAATGCCCTAGGTACCTCCCTTGTCACCCTAGTCTGGGGTCTTTCAGTTGCTTAAACATGGAAATAAATTAAAAATACTTAATTCAAAAGAAAGCTAGCTAACAATGGGCCTAAAAGAGGTATAAAAATTAGTATTAAGGAGATGGCAGAAACTGTGTATGTTCAGCAAGAGGATAAGTAACACTATAGATCCAGATATAAAAGTGTATACCTACAGAAGTTAAAATAGTGTGGTGTTGACATAGAAAAACAGATGAGTAGAACAGATTAGAGTCTAGAAATATAATCATGTATAAAAGATAATCTAATAAGTGTAAAAGATAATAATTCAAATCAACAGAGGAATGATTAACTGTTCAATAAATCATAATAGGAAAGTGGTTAGCCAAAACATGCAGTTACTGCAAGCATAAATTATAGATGTAAATGTGGAAAAACAAATTATAGAAATAGTAGAAGTCAATATGGGAGAATATGTTTATAAACCTAGGGTAGCAAATACTTCCTGAAAAAGAATCAAAGCATGTTAAAAAGAAAACAATGATAAATTTGACTTCCTCAAACTTAGCATCTTATACACAAGAAAAGCCACCATAAACAAAGTTAAAATGTAATTAACAAATTGAGAGATATTTATAGCCTATATAAGAGGCTGGAGATTAATATGCCAAATATTTAAATAATTCTTACCATTCAGTAAGAAATAACACTTTGATAGAAAGATGAGCAAACAATTTACAGGAAAAAACAAATGGCCCATAAACATGAAAAAGTGTTCAACCTCATTAGTAATCAGGGAATTGCAAATTAAACAACAATGGAAAAGCATTTCTCACTCAGAACAGCAAAAAATTAAAACTTGGAAAATATGAAATGTTGGCAAGGGTATTTCTCTTGTGCAATATTGTAAAAGTATAAATCAGCACATCCATTTTTGAGAGCAATTTGGCAGATTTAATAGATTTGATAAAGACTGCTGGAAAATGAAAGCAATTTAGGGCAAATAAAACAAAGAACATTTTTTCAGAATAAGTATTAGGTTGATGTAAAGGTAATTGCAGTATTATCATTGTTGGAATATGCTGTTTGATATTAGAACACATTCTTAAATAAATGTGGTTATATTATACATCATTTTAATTGCATTTCTCACTTTATGTTTTTTTGCTAATGACATTACTTGCTGTTTATATTTATTTTAGACTATGGAAATGATGTTAGACAAAAAGCAAATTCAAGCGATTTTCTTATTCGAGTTCAAAATGAGTCATAAAGCAGCGGAGACAACTCCCAACATCAACGATGCATTTGGCCCAGGAACTGCTAATGAATGTACAGTGCAGTGGTGGGTCAAGAAGTTTTGCAAAGGAGATGAGAGCCTTGAAGATGAGGAGCACAGTGGCTGGCCATTGGAAGTTAACAACGACCAATTGAGAGCAATCATCAAGGCTGATCCTCTTACAACTACACCAGAAGTTGCCCAAGAACTCAATGACGACCATTCATTCAGCATTTGAAGCAAACTGGAAAGGTGAAAAAGCTCGATAAGTGGGTGCCTCATGAGCTGACTGAAAATCAAAAAAAAACTGTCATTTTGAAGTGTCATCTTCTCTTATCACATGCAACAACAACGAACCATTTCTTCAACAGATTGTGATGTGCACCAAAAAGTAGATCAACTCAGTTGTTGGACCAAGAAGAAACTCCAAAGCACTTCCCAAAGCCAAACTTGCACCAAAAAAAAGGTCATGGTCACTGTTTGGTGGTCTGCTGCCAGTCTGATCCACGACAGCTTTCTGAATCCTGGTGAAACCATTACAACTGAGAAATATGCTCAGCAAATCGATGAGATGCACTGACAACTGCAACACCTGCAGCCAGCACTGGTCACCAGAAAAGGCCCAATTCTTCTCCATGACAATGCCCAACCGCACGGTGCACAACCAACACTTCAAAAGTTGAACGAATTGGGCTACAAAGTTTTGCCTCATCCACTATATTCACCTGACCTCTCACCAACCAACTGCCACTTCTTCAAGCATCTCAACAACTTTTTGCAGGGAAAATGCTTTCACAACCAGCAAGATGCAGAAAATGCTTTTCGAGAGTTCGCTGAATCCTGAAGCACAGATTTTTATGCTACAGGAATAAACAAACTTATTTCTCATTGGCAAAAATGTGTTGATTGTAATGGTTCCTATTTTGATTAATGAAGATGTGTTTGAGCCTAGTTATAATGATTTACAGTCCAAAACCACAATTACTTTTGCACCAACCTACATAGTAAATTTAAGGAACACATATCTCCCAAAAAGCTGGAAAAATATGTTTTTCTAAAAAAAGAGTGAGATTAATTCACAACAGAATTGAATCATAAGTGTTTACTAAAAACAAATGATATGTACTTAACATTGGAGGATGATGCATTTTTCTAGTGTCTGATCCAAGTTAGCCATTTTTTATGTAAGAAATATGGGGAGACTGGTGCACATCCCACCTTCACACTGAGCTAAGAAAACAGATATCAACAGCAAGGGCAAAAAATTAGAAAGTTCAAGAGGCAGCCTGGCAGAGGAAAACCATGAAAAGGAATAGGGAGCAGAATGAAGACTGAATTTATTCTATCTGTTTAAACACAACACAATATCTTCTTATAGCTATAATAGAACCTCATCAGTGAATACTGAGGCTAAGCTTCCAGATCCCTCACTTTATAATCTCATAACCTTGAAGAAGCAATACTATAGGACAGAATTTTCGGCAGGAGCGAGTGACATAATGAAGACAGTATTTAAAGAATAATTCTGCAATGCGCACCACCCGAAGGATGGACATATTTGAAACTCAGACTTGAGGGGGGACCAAGGGCAACATACGTAACCTAAACATCTGTACCCCCATAATATGCTGAAATAAAAGAAAAAAAAAAAGAATAATTCTGGCAACTAAGGGTAAAACTACTTATCCACTTCCTAAGGATAAAAATAAATACTTTCCTTAAAAAGCTTAAAACAGGATTTCTGCTGATTGGGAGTTTATAATATAACTGAAGATATTATTTTATCATGTGAATATGTCCTCGTAATGAAAGATAATATGTGAAAACTGTCAAATGAGTAATACCGCTAGTAAGTGCTGTGTTAATTTTAAAGAAAGAGATCTTAAATAAAATAAGGCTTTAGAGGGGTGAAAAGAGAAAAGAGGACAAATTAGACAAAAAACCATCTAAAAAGAAAGAATAAAAGTTAATTCCAAATGAATGCATCAACATGAATGAATCTGAAAAGGACAGCAGTTTGCAAAAGGATACAATAAAGCGACACGTGTGCATATATATTAAACTTTTATTGAAGCATAAATATACATACAGAGCAACTAAGCTACTCACATAATTTAATGAGTTTTCAAAATTCAACATACTCCTGCAATCAGCACATGAATCAAGGGAATAAAAGCAATCTTAGCACTCTTGTAGTCTCGAAACTCCTTCCAGTTACTATTCTCACTTTACCTCATTCCCACCAGGGTGATCACTGTACTGATTTCTAAGATCAGAGCTGAGTTTTGTCTATTTTTTACTTTATATAAGTGGAATCACAGTAGGTATTCTTCTATATCTGACTTCTTTTGGTCAATATTGTGTGTGAGCTTCTGTATACTTAGGTCTCCAAAGGGCTCGTTAAGCATCCTCAGGAGGTGACAGCTAGCTTACCTGAGAAAGAGTCATCCAAGAAGGAAGGCAAGAGAAAAAGCTGCTACACCTTTTATGACTTAGTCTTAGAAGTCACACACTGTCACTTTCAGCATATTCTGTTTGTTAGAATTGAGCACCATCACTATCAGCATATTGCTTGTTAGAACTGAGTCATTAAGTCTGGCTCTTACCTCCACATTTTGAAGGAAGGAGTGTCAAAGAATTTGTGGACGAATTTTACCACAATGGATAAATATAAATGTGGAAAAAGTATAAAACCATAACGGGAACAGTCACCAATTTCAGGATAGTTCTTAGCTGACCCTAACTGTAACCTCTAGGAAAGAGCACAGGGAGAGGGAAAGGTGTGGAGTGGCTTTAGCTGTTCTGTAACATTAGAGTTCAGTATGTATGTTCCATTGCTGAGTAACAAATAACCATACACCTGGTGGTGTAGAATACCATAAATTTATTATCTCACTATTTCCATAGGTCAGGAGTCTGGGAAATTTTAGCTAGGTCCTCTGTTCAGGCTCTTACATGGCTGAAATCAAGATGTCAGCTGACTATGCCCTTATCTGGAGACTGGGCTAGGGAAAGACTTGCCTCTAAGCACTCTCAGGTTTTTGGCAGAATTCATTTCCTTGTGGCTGTATCACTGAGGTCACCATCATTTTCCTGCTAACTGTTGGCTAGGTACTGTTCTCAGATACTTTTAGGCCACTTTTGGATCCTTGCCACGTGGCCCTATCTACCACATGGCAGTGGGAAGGCCTCTGCTACTGATTCTGATCTCTTAAAGGGCTTATCTGATTGGGTCAGGCTTGCCCAGAATAATCTCCCTTTTGATTAACTCTAACTCAACTGGTCAGGGGCCTTAAATACATTTGGAAAAGTGCCTTTGCCATATAACATAACATAAAAGCTGGGAATGATATTCCATCATATTCACATGTTCTGCATTCACTTAAGGGGAAGGAATCAGAAGGTAGGAATACTGGAGGACATCTTAGAATTCTGCCTACTACAACTTCCTTTTAAAAAAACGACAAAATGTTAACATAAGTGAGTACGTGGTTTTTTGTTTTGTTTTTTTTTAATTTAGAGACAGGATCTCACTCTGTTGCCCAGTCTAGAGTGCAATGGCACAATTATGGCTCACTTTAACCTTGAATTCTTGGGCTCAAGTGATCCTCCCACCTTGGCATCCCAAAGTGCTGTGATTATAGGTGTGAGCCACTGCTTCCAGCCTATTTTCTCTACTTTTTATATCTGAAATGTTTCATCATTCTTTCAGAATCAAAAAAAAATCCTATGTACTTAGGTCTTTATCAGTCTATGTATTCATGGATTTATAGAAGCTAAATGAAGGGAGAAAATAAAGAAATACAATCCTTAAAGAATTAGAATTGTATTGATCTGGCAGTCATTAAGCCTACATTTTTGGCCTTTCTTACATTAGATGTCAGTTTCAAAACACTAAAGAACAATGTGCCAAACTACTAAGAATTCTTAATGCTTAGCAACATTAGCCATTGCAATAAAAGCTATTGTATTAGTTTTCTGGATAGATAACAAATTACTACAAATTTAGGACTTGAAACAACACACATTTATTATCTCACAGTTTCTGTGGGTCAGGAGTCTTGATACAGCTTAACTGGATCCTTTGCATCAAGTCTCAAAGGCTGCAATCAAGACTGGAGCTGGGCCAGGCGCGGTGGCTCACGCCTGTAATCCTAGCTCTCTGGGAGGCTGAGGCGGGCG